AGACAGAAGAAAGACGGGAATAATGACACTCTGTATTCTGACCTCCGCTACAGAGATTATGAATAAAAATGCTTCTCATTCATGTTAGTTATACACAGTGCTTGAAGTGGTAAAAAATAAGTGCAGGAACTCTAATTTTCTCGGGCCACTGTCGCTGCGTCGGATCAGTTTCAGTAAGTACCGGAACGCAGAAAAAAGTGGCAGAACCCAAAAGACGAAAATACAGAAGTTCCGGAACTGCGTTCCGCTGCGTTCTGGCCCACTTCAAGCACTGGTTATACAGAGTGTTCAGGGTGTAGCTTTAATAATGTTCAGAAGGAGAGCAGGGGAGCCAGTGCTTCTGAGACTGGATCACTGGATTTTACGGAGCACCAGTGCTAAGTTTGGTGTTAGTGTCTTTGGGGTGCATTTTTACTGGAAGTGCAAATGTTCAGGCCAGACTGGGATCTGAGGGAGGGGGAGAGGGGGGCCACAGAGATTATTTCTTCATGACTTGGGGGGAATAAGTGGCTTTAATGTTGTGGAAAGGCTGAGTTGCTGCAATCAGTTCTTTGATGTCACACATGCTTACTTGTCTCCCTTGTTTACCATGGTGAATGGTTTGGGACAAACGCACAGGGACAGATTTATAATATTAAACAGACAAAGAAATTGAATGAAAATTTAAAGTGTTTTTAGATTACATTTTTCATTTAATTATCTGTACTGTATATATTTTTGGAGGATATACCTGTACAAATACTGTACCTGTATCATTAATAATGATGTGGATAAGTTTCCCTGTGCTTTTATTTGGCCTAATTTTTTACAAAAGCATCTTATCTCATACCTACTACCGTTACAAAATGAATCAGAAGGGATTAGAAATGAAAAACAAAATGAGTGAGAGAGCAACTTTTCTGACTGAAAATATTCGATGGAGTTCATTCTTGTTTCTTGCATGAAAAAAATCTCCCCAGTTTATTTCCTTTACTTTTTTAGACCCTCTGGTTCCTCACAGCTCATCACAGGACAAACAGAAAATCACACACTGTGGGTAATTCAGGGACAGAAATGCAGCTAATCTCCCTTTGCTAGGACTGTGGGTGGAAACAGGAGCACACAGAGGAGCCTTACACAAACACAGGGGGAACATGAGAATTACACCCCCAAGCAGGGAGGTGTGAGATCACAGTTCTGTCCATCAAGCCACTATGTGACCTGCGCTGGAAACATTTCTGAAGGTTGTAAATGTGCCAATCCTGTTTTAATAAGGGAGGAATTTTGACTAACAGAAAACATATTTCAGTTTGATTACAGCATCCCAGCTCTATCCCATTTCCACCTCTATTGCACCCTGAGCAGCTCACTCAGATACCAGTCTGAGCCTGTCCAAGGCTGCACAGGGCACAAGGCTGGGCTCCACGTGGGTGGGCAGGGGGGTGGGGTGCCAGTGTGTCACAGGGCGCGTATGTACACACAGTCACTGACATAAGAGTGACTACCTACTCAGCCACTGTGCTGCCCCCACAATAAACACAAAAAGTAGTAGCATAATTCCCATTACTGTTCATTTAACAAGACTGCTTACTCTAAGTTCTGTTTCCAACATGCAATTCAAAATCAGAGCTGGACAGTAACAAAGCACATTTACTTGAGTATTTCAATTTTACTTGAGCATCATTTATTTGTGATAGGAGAAAAACCACTCACAGTAAACTGTTGGGCAGTTATAAAGCTAGAGGTGTGTAACTGGGTTGGTAGTTTTGTGTATAGGGATGCTCCGATCAGGATTTTTGCCACCGATACCAAGTACCGATTTTTTGTCATGGTGATCGGCTGATACCAATGCCGATTCTGATGCTTCAAGTTTATATAACTGATATGTAAACTCTCTGATCACCATTAACTTTTCTTCAGATAAATTAATACTATAAATGTTTCCTTTGTTATACTTTTGTTATATTTTTACAGTAATATATAGTGAATTCAGGTAAAGTGGGACATTTTTTGCCATTTTGACATCTAGTGCCCATTGAAACATTAACCTAATTTACTAAACCCACATATGATACCTTTCTGCAATCCTTAAGATGTCTACTTATCACATCGAAAGAAAAAATATATATTTCTTGCTTATGGGGGCCGTGATACAGGTCTATACACTTTTACCTGTAAGGTAAAGTGGGACGCATTTCAGGTAATGTGGGACAGGTGGTTTGATAATGTGGGACAGGCGTTTATTTAATACATATATCCATCCATCCATTGTCTGAAACTGCTTAATCCCAACTGGGGTC